GTGTTGCAGAGATGAGGATGCTTAGGTGGATGAGTGGCTTGACCCTTAGAGATAGGATACAAAATAAGCATATACATGAAAAGTTTGGAGTAGCTCCAGGCCTCCAGTGGAAGATAATATTATAGAGAGTCATCTTAGATGGTTTGGTCACATTAAACGGAGGCCATCCAATGATCCGGTTAGGAAAATTGAGGTATTATATTTGACTTATGTTAAGAAAGGTAGTGGTAGACCTATAATGACTTAGTTAGAAAATATTAGAAATGATATTTCTTTATTATATTTAAATGAGAATTTGACTTTTAACCAGACACAATGGCGAAAAAGGATTCATGTAGCCGACCCCATGTAGTGGGACAAAGGCTTGATGTTGTTGTTGTTGTTGTGTCATATTAAAAGTCAAATTCTCATTTAAATCTAATAAAAAAGATATTTTTAATACTTTCTAACTATTTTTTAGGTCTACCTTTACCTTGCTTGATATAGACTGAATCTAATACATCTACTCCCCTAATTGGATCATTAGAAGACCGACGCTTTATGTGACCAAATCATCTAAGACAACTCTCTCTAATCTTATTTGCCTTTGGAGCTAGTCCAACATTTTCACGTATATACTCATTTCACGTTTTGTCTCTAAGTGTAAAGACACTCATCCACCTAAGCATCCGCTTCTTAGCAACATCAACCATGGAAAATAAGGCAAAAAAAGAGAAAGTCAGGGCAACACATAGTCGTGGTTTGACATTGTCCAAGAGTTGACGACATCCAAGACCGCCATCTCGTCTTCATCTTGATCGACTTCTTCCCTTGTTTGTCATCACTCATTCTCTCACTCTCTCCTCTCTCGCATGGTGCTCATGTATGCCCTAGTAGGTTCAATTGGGGGTTCAAAAAGAAAACACTTGAGGCAATAGAAGACAATTGAGTTGGGTTGTTTGGTTTGATCGATTCAGTTCGATTGCATTCAATTACATGTTATTACACATATTATTTATATTTAAATTTTTTTTCTTTGTTATATATGTAGAGTTTCAATTTGTTTTGTGAAGGGTTTAAAGTTTTTGATATCCAATTTTAGTTTAGATAAGTTTTTAAATTTTCATATAAGAAAAAACTTAAAATATAAATATTTAATATATTTCAAATTGTTAATTTCCTTCAATCTCCTTTTATTTATGTTTTTATTATACCATCTTACTAGCTGTATTAAAACGTTAACATCCAAAGAACTACTGAAGAAAACAAATTTAAACCTCAATTTTGGCAGTTGAAAACATTGTAGTTTCATTTTGGTGTTGAAGCATATGATTTAGTTTTTGATATTTTGATCGATTCATTAGTCTTTTCACATTATCTATTTAAAATTACTCAAGATGCAAAATAATTTTAAAGTTTTGAAGTCTAATATAAAATATTATGTATGACCATCAAAAACAAAAAAGAAAAAAAAGGAAAAAAAATCGTTTTCCTTTATCTATTTTTTAATTTATAAAATCATAAATATTTAACACTTAAAAAATGAAGATGATATGTAATAAAAATCTCACAAGTTTCTGCAAGAGTAAGCAATTTTATCTGTATCTGTTTCATCTTTTCAAATATATTTAATTTTAATGATTTAGACTAATGTATTTACAATTTATACATTTGTGGCATATTTTAAATTTACCTTTTTTGTATATAAGTTGTGATCATATATGGAGTAATTAATATTTGATTTTAATTTATGGAAGAATGATTTTTGCAAGTTAAAATTATATCCTAAATTATTTTGATGCAGGACTACAATGATTTTAAATGAATGCTATAAGAATTTGCACCACTTTGAAAGGAACAAAGAACAATTACGACTATTAGCTTATTAAACGAAAATAGAAAACGTAAGAGGGGTCACTATGCTTAGGCCAAATCACATATTTAGCTTGAATTATCAAAACAACGTAGAATTTCAACAACATGCGTATTAAGTAGTTATTCAACAAAAACTCCTAATCTAACATTGAAATAAACAACATATAAAGTACACTCAATCCTACGTTTACTAAGCGGGGGCAGATGGCGAAGCACGGTTCCTTGTGACTTGATCACCACCTACAAGATTAGTGGATTATGAAATTAAATGTAAAGGGGAAGAAGTTCACCCTTAGGGTGGTTCAGAAACAATTTGCTACTGGACGTTTGCAAGTTGCTCGTCAATGGTTTCTGAAAGCGTGAAGATGATGCGGTCCACGTACTCTTCAATGGAACAATCAACTTCCGGGTTGAAATCGAAGAGGGTGGAGTAGAGGATGTTGACGTTGCCTTGTTCTTCGTAAGCGAATTCGTAGTCAAGCTCTGGATCGGCCATTCATTGGATTTGAAAGAATGATGTGTAGAAGAAGATCAATGTTGCTACCTTGAAGACTCCACTAGAGAGAAAGAAGTTTCTCTCAAAAGTTGAAGTGGAGATGGAGGAGGGAATGGCCGGCCAATGGAAGGGGGCTATGGGAATTGGGAAGACTTTGGTTCAGTTTTTGTGGAGGGTAAGTGATTTAAGCAACTTCCTAATTAATCCCCTTGATTGGGAGAAATTAAGAAAGGGAGAAAGAGAGACGGGCGGCGGCAAGAGAGAGGGAGGAGATTTAATTTAATTCCAATGAGGAGAGATGGTCTTTGGAAAGAAATTAAATAGGTGGGGCTTGTGGAGATTTTGGCCAAGGTGAGAGGGAGAGGTGGTTTGAAATATTTCCAAGAGAGCAACTTGGATTTAGGAAATAAATCCCATGGGGAATTCAATAGGGGCCGGCGGCTTTTTTAATGGAGTGGGATGGGTTTAAGGCAAGTGCTTATGGCTTGCTTAATAGGGAATCTTAAATTAGGTAAGAGAAATTAAATTTCATTCAATTAAATATTGATTTGGGATGAGATTTAAAGACTTTCCTAAAATAGATTTCGTATTTTATGAAAGTTTTTGAATTTCAAATCACTTGGATTTGATTTCAAAATTAATCGTAGTTATATGCAATCTATTTTATGAAAGAAGGGAAAAAGGAGGGAAAAGGCCAAAGGGACCGACGACTTGTGGTTTGGCCGTGGGTGGTGGTGGGGGAAGGAGGGGTAGGTGCTGGTGGGAGTGGAGTTGGGGCTTAGCCGTCGGTGAGGGTGAGTTTATGGTGGTTGGCGGCTTAAGGGGGTGGGGAGCTTCTAGGCCGATGACTAGTTGAGGGAGGGAAGAGGGGAGAAGAAGATAGAGAAGAAAGAACCACGAACCCAGACACTTTCAAGGTTGGTGGGTGATCCGATTCCCTCTCCTAGGGACTTCACTCCAATCTCTCTCAAGTTCTCACAGGAACTCAAACACGGGAGAAATTTTTATCATTCATTCATTACACATGAAAAGAGAACATAAGGGCTATATATAGAAGAGGATCATACCTGCCCTTTGGGCTTACACATGATCTTCCTTAAGCAAGGGGTAAAAGCGAAAAAATAATAAAACAAATGCAAGATAAAATAATAAAAGATAAATACATAATACGACTCAGAAATACATCGACTTAATCGTGGCCGTAGATTGACGGTCACGTCTCTGATAGACTTTCCAAGCTCCGATGTCCCCATCATATTTTCTATCACAAAATATTACTAAAATACCAGGTTTTAAAAACCGGACCGGACCGGCCGGTTCAACCGGTTCAACCGTGAACCGGCCAGTTGTCCGATCCGGTCCAGCTCAAAAACCGGCTTCGCAGAGAACCGGCCTGAACCGGCGGTTCAACCGGTGAACCGGCGAACCGGTCCGGGTTCAAAAGAACCGGCCGGTTTCAAAAAAAAAATAATGATAAATAAAATATAAATAATATATTTTACTTCATTATTTTTTAAAAAAATAATTTTTTTATTAAATAATGAGATTTTTGATACCATTATATATGGTTATCACCTCATGAAACAAGTTTTTTAAGAGAAGAGGGAACTATATATAGAGCCAAAAGCCAACTATCTCTTACTCCTTCATGATGTGGGACTAAAAAAGAGTACATGATAACATGAATGCTATGTTAGCTTGGGCTTTATTGGGCCATTAAATTGAATGATTGACCATGCCAATGGGGCTTGCCTATCCAAGGCTTCAACCCAAGGCCCCCATGCTCCCCCAAAGCAGTCGCCACCGCCAGCCAAGGTGCAAGCCACACCCATGAACTTCCCCCAAGCATCCCCTCCTCTTAAGCTGAAGCATAAAGCTGTTGAAGAGCCCATTGTTTTTGAGGACAAGGATGAATCCTCCCTTGGAGCTTGAAACCTAGTCACCCGGAAAAGGAAAGGCAAACCGAAGGCTCCAAAAGACCAAGGCACCAGTCAACAAGTCGAGCCCCCTATCCAACTCTCGGCCGAAAAGTTACAACAAGTGGAAAAAACTTTTAATAGGATCGTGAACTTTCGCAAGCAACTACCAAGAGTGTCCAAGTCTCGCTTGGACAGAGAGCTCCTCTGACTTGGGCTTTTAGTCACCTCCCCTAGGAAGAGGAAGAAGACTTCAACAGATTCCACAGACGGAGACTTTGTCCCCTCAAGTGCTTAATGAACAACCTCTTTTCATTTGTTTGTATTGACTATTTTTGCGCAATACAAGCCAATGAAGGAGTCCTCCTCACTTGAGGGGCTCTTCCTTTTTGTTTCCTTTTATTTGTCCTTTGTCTGCTACTTCGTATGAGATGCTTCTCAAGTTGTAAACCCTTCCCCTTTTGTTTTTTTATCTTTGGGAAGTGGTAGTCTTTCCCTTACTAGCTTTTTATTTTCTGTGTTTCTTTCTTTTCTTATAAATTAAAAAAAATAAAAATAAAAAATGATGATGGTGATGATGATCATGAGTCGATCAGGGTGTTCACCGATTTTGAACAACTTAGACTTCCCTATGTGTAGACGCAATATCAACAAAGGCTGGTATTTTTATCTCGTTCAAATACTTCTCTTCTTATGCTTTATTTTCTTATATGTTTATGTTTAACTACTGGTAGATGGCGTGCACTGCATGAAGAAATGAGATTGGATATGCAGAGAATCTGGAAAAGAAATTTGGGCCGAGATGATAGATTGATCTCTGATCATGGAAAGGAGGTATTGTTTAAATTAACTTTGCACCAAATATTGCAAGTTTCTTAGCCATTCATATGCAACTTACAGGCTAGATTTCCTTTCCTGGATGAGGAAGTTATTCAAACCTTACTGGAAATCCCCTTATGGGACATCGCTAAACTAGATGAACCAGTTGGAAAAGGTGACAAAAAGATTTTGAGAGAGGTATCTACTCATGAAACTGTAGTATCGTTAAATTAGTTATTATTTACATCCTCCACTTGGCCAATTAAGTTCTTTCAACACTTGGCATCAGTATATATGCAAAAGTTTCACATTTTTTAAGCAATAGTATGCAAGGTAACTTTGTAAGATTTTAAAGCATTGTCCCCGATACATGTGTAGAAGATGATAGCTTTGTTGCTTTTCCCCAACGGATGTGTAAAACCATGGTATTCCTTAGCGATGAAAATGACTTGTTAGTTATGTTCTTTTATAGATTCTAACAGTTCCATATTTAATGTTTAAGGTGGCTCGACTACTATGCCTAGAAGATGCAGCTGCTAGGCCAAAAAGGGCCATACAGGTACTATTCTTATGTTATTTCTAACGGCGATATCCACAACCACATAAACAATGGAGCGGCCTCACTCTCAGCCATATCAATTAACAGTGATCTCTACAATCATAAAAATGTTGCAGTTACACTTTTTGCCATCTCATTAATACCCTCAGTTTATAACAAAAAATAAAATCAAGTCCATCTCTATGTGTAAAGTCAAAATTATATTATGTGACCAAAACTCAGTAGACCAACTTTTACATTATATATATATATATATATGCTCATACAATGTATTCAAACTATGAAGAAACCAAGCTTATTTGAAAATGTCCTTTTAAAAGCTTGTTTTCTGTATTGCTATATCTTGCTTTTCACTTGTACAAAAAGCTTACTGTTGTTTTTTTTCTCTGCTCCTGAAAGCTGTTTTAACTGATTACATTGTATGGTATATATATAATGTAAAAGCTAGTGTATTTAGTTTTGGTCAGATAAAGTAATTTGGCTTTAGATATGGATGGACTTGATTTTATTTTCTGTTATAAACTGACGGTCTTGATGAGATCGCAAAAAGTGTGGCTGCTCCATTTCTGTGGTTGTGGAAATCGCTATTATTGATATGGTTGAGAGTGTGTCTGCTTCTTGTTTATGTGATTGTGGTAGTCGCTGTTAATTTCCCTCATGGAATTATTTTCTCTTCTGATGCAATTTATTCAATTTATTATCCTTTTGTAGAATTGCATACATGTTTAAGTATGTGCAAATCACATCATTAGTCTAATCTCAAACTTTTTTGGGCTTGGTCATCGTTGCTGAGTGCGTGCTATGTATGATGTGAAAATCAAATTTTCATTATTTGTTGAATTTCTTTTCTTCCACCTTTTAAAGTCGGATTTCTTACTAATTTTTTTGACCCCTTTGAATTGTGCATTTTTTATCCTTCTTTCTACATGCTTAAATCAACTTATTCCTCTAATACAATTTTCTTAAATCTCCTTTTTATAGTTTTTTTGTACGTGCACTGCACCAAAAATCTATCATAACATGTGCTGCTAAAACATTTTTGGTTCTCTTAGCGCATAATTTTAACATTTCTGGGTGGATGTACAGTAACTTCACCCTTTTTTACTTCAAAATTTTCCAGTTTGGTTCAAGAATAGCCAGAGAATCCAATCGAAAGAACTTCGGAAGCAACCGTGCAGCTAACCATGCATCAGCTGGGAGTGTCAAAATCGATAAATATACTCCCTGATTCTGTGGGTCAAGCAAAATGATCTGCTCCCAGGCTTAAGTTGGTTTGCCTTGACATTCAATAAGCTTGAAAGTGATTTGCGAAGCGCCAGATATAAATGAACAAGCTGGAACACAAATATACTTGTTTGTTTTTGCGTTTGTCAGCTTATTATTTTGTTCAATAGGCAGTTCTATTCATGCTTTTTTGTGTTATTTAGGCTTCATTTGGGACTGCTTTGTTACTGCTTCTTAAAGCAGCTTAATTTTTGTACTGAAATGCTGGTTTAAAAAACAGTAAAAAAGTCATCCCAAACGAAATCTTAGTTGCTTAGCTGTTGAAATATTACATATTATTTAACAATGCTTCTGTCAATCATATACAGTCCAGCTGGGCGTATACAGCAAGCCAGCTTATTCAACTCATTTGTTTATTTGATTCTGCACATTTAGTTGGAACTCGTGTTATTCAGGTGGAACTCTGAAGGTGACCCAAACCTGAACTGTGAACTGAAAATGATATGTTTTGACTCAACACTTAAAAAAATCTTCCTTATAATTTTTTACTAATTCTTTGTCTGATTGTTATTGAGCTGTAGGTGAGCCTAACAGCTAACTAATTATATGATGATTGGTACTGTTTTCATTAATTTGTAAATATTAATCAAAATTGATTGAATTCACTGAATATTTTTGGTAATCCATGGAAAATTTCAGTAAAAATAAAAAAAGATCTTGATTTATACAGTTAACTATGCGCTTAATATTTTTGTTATATTTATATATCAAATAAAATATATTATTTTTTAAAGAGTGTATGGTGTAAAAAAAATTGGTATAAAAATATAGAATAAATTATCAAATAAATCGTTAAATAAACATTTATTGAGTTTTTGATGAGCTGTTTATTAAGAAAATAATAAATGAATTGGCATGTTAATTTTTTAAATTCAATTATTTATATATAGAATTAATATTTTATTCAAATTTCTTCTAGACAAATATGAATAGGCTTAATAAGAATAATTTACCATCTAACACAATGAAAAATTAATTTTATAATGAAAATTTGTTGAAGAAAAATTGATGAATTGGACAAAGCATAATATTGACATGAACCTAATGATATGATTTGTCTTGTCGTAGGAATGAGCATTGAATTAGAATGCATGATGCATGCATGCCCATATCTTCATCAATGAAAATTGAAGGGAGCATTTAATATTTATGTCATCAATTTTGCATTAATGCTTTTCACCAAAGATGGAATTTGAGTAAAGAGATATTTAGCATAGGAGTGGAACTTAGGCCTTAGGATTTGATTTTTTAATGTTTTCATTCCTAGAACCCGAACTGACCCGTTTTAAAATCAGGTAGCGTCAAACGCGAAATTTCCGGGTTGAATTTTCATGTCGTGTCAAATATAGCACCCCTAAAAAGAGCTATCACAAACAAAGTTTTAACCAAAGCTCTGCATTGGGTACCAATACCCACACCCACCCAAACCCAATGGGCATGGGTGGGTATGAGTATGCACATGACCTCGTTGGTAGGTATGGGTGGGTATGTATATGCACATGACCTCGTTGGTGGGTATGGCCATACTCAATATCGAGGGATAAATCGATTTACATTGCTAATCACCATATGCAGTATATTACCTTAACCCTCACTACCCAATGCATAACACTGAACCACGTTGTGACCACAATAAATTCAGATATGCATATTGAAAGTTTGCTGTTAGAGCAAAGGGCAACAAGCCTCAAGGCCATCATTCCATGGTGGACTGCATTCAAAAAGCGTGGAAAGTGGGTGAGTATGGGTGGATACAACATCCAAAAATTCACCATGGGATGGCGTAGGTGGGCGAAGCCCGACCGCACAGAGCTTGGGTACCCAACCAGTACCCCATATAGGGCTTTGATTTTAACTTTTGTAGATAAATTTATTGAATGCAGATTTATGGCCTACCAATGCAAGAATAAGTGCCCTTTGGCCCATTTGAAACATAAGGATGATTACCTAAGTAGGTTTGGCATGCCTAAATAAGGTATAATGTATCTATACATATATAGTCTATTTATGTAAGTACATAAATCATCTAAGCAATGATGATTTCCTTAAATAAAGGCAAAATTTTATGTAAATGTAAATCACCTAAACAAAATATGTACATAGACATATGTGTTCGGTCTAGATCATATCGTGACACATTTAAGTGATTGCACATAATCCAATCACTTAGAAGAATGCATGCATAAATGCCTATAATTTCTTAACCATGGCTATTATAGGTGTGGTTAGAATGATCATTTGCTCAAGTTTAATGATTTATATAAATCATGTTTGACCTAAGTTTACTAAACATATCAAAATCATTATGAACAGGTCTAGCCTAGAAGGAACAATAAGAGGATTACTTAAACGCTATAAGGTTTAATCATGTAATGTGACACAATCATTATTCATCAAAGACATTGATTAACTTATCTACTTGATGATTTGACTAGCAAAAGGTAATTTGAATATGTAATATATTGGTTCGTGTGGTCTATACATATCTAGGTTAGAGCACACCTAGTTTGCATTCATAGGTCAAAGATATAGGCAAATACAATGCATTTATGTTGCACAAGATCGAATCAAATAAGATCAGTAACTAAGGCTTCATTTGGTACGACTTTTTTTACTGCTTTTTAAAGCAACTTTTTATTTCAAAAATTAAAAAATTTGCATTAGAAAGCTGGTTTAAGAAGCAGTAAGAAAGCGGTCCCAAACAAAACCTAAGTGTACTCGAGCCCATGTCACTTTACTAGACTGATATTTGGATGGGTTAGTATAATATAATAAAAGATATCATTCAACACATAATTATTTTCATTGCTTATTTCTTCACATAAGTTAAAACTCTATAAATATTTAAAAAATAAGTGTAAAAAAGGTCTTTCAATGAAAAGTAGGCTTAATAAGACAATGCTAGATACATGAACTCTTTTTCTCAAATCACACTACATTGATGAAAGCCTTGTGAAATGTGAAGAATATTTTATAATATTTTTTACATGACAGTAATGGCAAACGACCATTATTCATCTCATTGTTTTGAAACAATTAAATGGCCTCATTGCTCCATCCAATCTTCCCTCAACAAATGAATTGGCAATTGTCATATCATACAAGATATTAATGTCAATAGGCTTTTGTATTATTATTATTATTATTTTGCTATAGTAAACTATTTTCGAGTGCGATAACTAAACAAATATGTTTAATTAAAAATATGAAAATTTGCTTTGGAATAATTGAAATTTGGTATAAAAAAAATTAATTTAAAAAAGAAAAGAGATTATGATGAAATAAATTTAGAAATAGACTTAGTCATTTCACAGGGCGTTTGGATGCTAACAAGACATGCCAATCCCTCGTTGAACGAATGACTTATATATATATATTAATGTTTTAATCACTATAAAAATTTAAAAGTTAACTTAGACATACGGAAATCTTGAAATGTCATTAATCATCTCTCATATCAACTCTTTGCACATACTAAGATTTATTCATAGTTAGGGCATCTCCAACCCAGAACTCCATTTTTCACGCCAAAATACCGCAAAACGCAAAAATGGCGTGGTGCTGCTCCAATCGAACGCCATTTTTTTGCTTATGCGCGAAGGTAACGATCCTTCTCCTTTGGCGCGTTTTTCCGGTTGAGAGAGGAAAATAACGTGGGTGAACAGTGCAACGCCAATATTGGCGTTGCACTGTTCACCCGCAAGCAAATGACGGACGTTTTGGCGTTCGGCTGGAGCGACGGAACGACGCCAAACACTCGTTTGACGTTCGGTTGGAGATGATCTTAGGACTGCAATATTGTCCATAACTTGGCATTCATTATGGCTCAATCTGTTCAATTTCAACATATAAAATCAACATCTAAACAACTTCGCAAGGGCGATGGGGGAAGGAGCTGGTGGTGTGGGAAGAACCAGGGCTGGGAAAATTGGGGAAGAAAAGTGAAGAGAAATAGTGTCGCTCAATCTCGTTCATGAGAGAGCAAAGAGAAGAGGTTCAGTCGCATGTTCAATGGGCGATCGACTGTCTTGTCAACCACTTTGCTAGAGAAGAAAAAAATAGAAATTAATTAGTAGCCGTTAGATGATCAACATGCCTCATCAGCAGCCAGTAGTTTTGTTAAAAGGGATGACTGAATTTATTTCTAAATTTATTCCTCTTCGATCTCATTTTCTAAATTTAAATTTTTTAATACGTTCATTTTTTTAAATTTGTCCAGTTCAAACCGCCCTACTACTATATAATGCCTCCCCCAACTCTTGTTCTACTCGGGTTCCTCCATCGTTCTTCTCTCACGGCCTCCCCAGAGAAGCTCACCTTGCCGAAAGACTGCATCTTTAGTTGAAAATCTCCATTTTATCCATGGATTCATCTTCCAACGTTTTCACTTTTATCTCCCCAACACTTCCTCCAGCTCTAGCCGCTTCTATCATTATCATCGCCGCTCTCTTCTTCTCTCCCGGCGGTCTCGCATGGGCTCTCTCCCGCAAGCGCTCCACAATCCCCGGGCCCACCGGAATCCTTCTCGCCCTCTCTGGCTCTGCCGCGCATGTCTCCCTCGCTGCCCTTGCTCGCTCCTTCAACGCCATCCGCCTCATGGCTTTCTCCGTAGGCCTCACTCGCTTCATCGTCTCTAGCCACCCAGAGACCGCAAAAGAGATTCTTTCGAGCTCATCCTTTGCTGATCGGCCTATTAAGGAATCTGCATACGAACTCCTGTTTCATCGCGCTATGGGTTTCGCCCCCTTTGGGGAGTACTGGAGAAACCTGAGAAGGATTTCCTCTACTTATCTTTTCAGTCCAAAGAGAGTTGCATCATTTGAGAAGCAGCGGAGTGAGATTGGGGAGGGAATGGTGTGCGAGATAAAAAGAATGATGGAGAGAAATGGGGTGGTGGAAGTAAAAAGGATGTTGCATTTTGGGTCTTTGAATAATGTTATGCTGAGTGTTTTTGGGAAAAAGTATGATTTTGGGAATGCTGAGGGGATGGAGCTTGAGTCGCTGGTTAAGGAAGGGTATGAGTTACTTGGGGTGTTTAATTGGGGTGATCACTTTCCTCTTTTGGGATGGCTAGATTTGCAAGGGGTGCGGAGAAGGTGCAGAGCCCTTGCAGCTAGGGTGAATGTGTTTGTGGGAAAGATTATTGCCGAGCATAGGAGGAAGAATCATGGAGTAAGGATTGATGAGGTTGAAAGTGGGGATTTTGTTGATTTGCTTCTTGGTTTGGAGGAGAAGGAGAGGCTCTCAGATTCTGATATGGTGGCTGTTCTCTGGGTGAGAATATCAATCTTCTTTATTAAATATTTAGTTAACATTTTGTTGTCTTGCTTTTTCATGATGCGGAAGTTTTTTTGGTCCAATATG